TTGATGGCATATGTCGCTAACACGTTTTATCGTAATGTATACTTACTCTTAATATTCTGTCTGTCTGTCTATTTATCTATCTATCTATCTGTCTGTCTATCTGTCTGTCTTTCTATCTACCTGCCTATGTGTCTGTCTGTCTATCTATCTATCTCAAAATTCTCTCTCTCTCTCTCTGTCTGTCTCTTTCTCTGTCTTTCTATCTCTCTCTCACTGACAGCACAGCTTGTTTAGTGAACTGTTTGGGATTCTCCTCCTGTTCTGTCATGTCAGTTTCTCTATGCAATGTGATGGATAATATATATCAGGCATAGTGAGAGTTCAGCATCTAGTGACCTGATCAGACAACATCAAACATCACTTGCCAAGACTCAGGACTCACCGGTAACTAGCCACGGCCAGCAAACTGACTCTGAGGGAGAGTCTAATAGTCTATAATGATCAGCATCTCATAACTAACATTATAAGGAGAATTTCACTTAATCTTTCTCAAATTGCTATAATCTCTCCAAATATATTTTATTTTATTAAATGTATCATCTTGGAGTACCTGGTACAGTTTAATTCCCATCCATGCCTACTAATGTTTGAGAGCCATAGAGCGGGCAGGGGGGATTTGGCAACATTTGTGGTTTGGGTGGAAAACAAATTTTAGTGGTTCACGGTGAAAATACAAAAACTATCCATGAAAGGGTTAATGTTGACAGTATCAGTAGAGACTCTATAGAGATCAAAGACCACCTACATATCCAATGAGAATATTTCTTTTGGACGCACCCCTGGCCTGGACACACCCATTTTACTTCATAAGGTATTCAATAAATGGTCGTCACGAGGATAATATTTATTAAGACTAAAATGGTGCTATTCTGAGCGCACAAAAGGCTGCATGTTGAGATGAGTTCCATACTGATTGATCCTTATTTAGCACTTTGTCGTAGAATAGCACCTGTGTTTACCGTGATAAATCTCGCCCATGATGTCCTAGTCACCATGCGGAATTAATACAACACGGTCACGAGCAGGAAGAGATGGTGGCCTGTTGTAGTAGGTGACACGTACACAGCAATGTGGGCACAAGCTGATCGTAATGTGTAGACAGACGAGACGGCACTGGGAGAAAGGACGTATCTATTTAATATTCAATGTCTGACAATGTAAAAATGCAGCAAGCAGGAACGTACGATTTAGTTTGTCTTTCTTGTCCAGTGTTCTTCCATGAGTAAGACTAAATGAAATGTGTAGATGGACATGTACGTAAACTGTCTGTTCTTCCCATGGGTCAGGCTCAAACTCACTTTCCACTACAGAAGACGTGGGGCAGGGGTGCCCAAAAGGTAGAACCCCAGATGTTTTAAAACTACAACTTTCATTATTATTATTATGTTATTTATATGGCGCCATCAAATTCCGCAGCGCTTTACAATGGGTGTGCAATTCGTCTTGGTCCGAATGTAAATTTGGACGAATTTCAGCAATTCGGACATTTGGATGGTTCCGAATGTCCAAATTGGCGGATTTCTGAAGTCCCGAATTGGAATTGCCAAACCGAACCAAACAGCCGAAGTGCCGAATTTCGGAAGTGCCGAAGTGCTTCGAATTTCTTAAAAGTGGCAAAACAGGAGAGGGAGGGAAAATTAAGGGAATGGTGACAGGAATCTATCCTTAAGCCTACCCCTAATCTTACCTGTAACCCTAACCCTACCATTAACTCTAACCCTACCCCTAACTTAACCCTTGCCAAATTGCCAAAGTCGCGAATCTCGGAAGTGCCGAAATGAACCGGATTTGTTTGCCCGTGCACATCCTTATTTCATGATGCTTTGTCATTCTAAAAACATTCTAAAGGCATACAAAGCACCATGGGAGTCGTAGTTCTACAACATCTGGGGATCTACCTTTGGTGCACCCCTGACATAGAGAATGATTAAGGAAAACACTCCTGCGTGTTTGTAGGTCTCCGTGTTATCATCTCCATGAACTCCGAGGGCAAACTGTAATACATGTCAGAAGGAAGTATTTTTCTGGAGTGAGGGGGCATGGCTAGGTAGGCAGGCTTACAGTGCACAATTCTGCAAAACATTTATTTATTTTATGGAAAAACTATAAAGATTTAAAGAGACACTATAGTCACCTGAACAACTTTAGCTTAATGAAGCAGTTTTGGTGTATAGAACATGCCCCTGCAGCCTCACTGCTCAATCATCTGCCATTTAGGAGTTAAATCCCTTTGTTTATGAACCCTAGTCACACCTCCCTGCATGTGACTTGCACAGCCTTCCATAAACACTTCCTGTAAAGAGAGCCCTATTTAGGCTTTCTTTATTGCAAGTTCTGTTTAATTAAGATTTTCTTATCCCCTGCTATGTTAATAGCTTGCTAGACCCTACAAGAGCCTCCTGTATGTGATTAAAGTTCAATTTAGAGATTGAGATACAATTATTTAAGGTAAATTACATCTGTTTGAAAATAAAACCAGTTTTTTTTTCATGCAGGCTCTGTCAATCATAGCCAGGGGAGGTGTGGCTAGGGCTGCATAAACAGAAACAAAGTGATTTAACTCCTAAATGACAGTGAACTGAGCAGTGAAATTGCAGGGGAATGATCTATACACTAAAACTGCTTTATTTAGCTAAAGTAGTTTAGGTGACTATAGTGTTCCTTTAAGCATGCAAAAATTGCAACAAATTAATGAGGTCAAACCAATAAAATTGAATGCTTTGAAGTTGTGTTGTGCCCGGAGTATCCTGTTAAGATGAGCAAGCCACTACAGGAGATATCAGAATTACTAGAACCGCATTCTTTAAGCAGACCTAAACGAAAAACTAACACTTTCTTTAAAGGAACACTATCAGGTCAGGAAACCAAACATGTATTCCTGATCCTATAGTGTTAAACCAACCATTTATGTGGCTTGCCCCCAATAGCCCCCTTCAAGGAATTAAAACTCACCATATTTCCAGTGCTGCGCTAGCCCCACCCCCGATCAGCCTCTTTGATGACATCATCAGCATTGCGGATTTTTAGCTAATACAATACTTTCCCATAGGGAAAGCATTGGATTGGCTAAAATCGGCAAGAAGGTGGGATGGGGGCGGGGCCAAACACCATTTTGGCCAATCAGCACTTCTTCCAAGCCCTCGCCTTAAATCCGTACCCAGACTTTCTGGTGCTGTCCAATCACAGACTTCCCAATGCAGCTCAATGAGAAGCCTTTGCAAAATAGGGGCTTAGGGCAATTGATGCCACTTGAGCTTAGCTCCACTGAGTAACTGTAACTGGACCTGCTGTCTGATTGACAGTCAGGGGGTGTAATAAGGTTTATTTCTATGAGTGACAATTACTATTTACTATAGTAAAAAAATAAAGTGGACACACTCTTCACACATAAAGCACTTCAGCATGTGTGAAAGCAGTGGGATATCTGTAACACATTCTATTGTTTGTCCTAAACCCTGAATTATAATGTGAATAGCAAACTTAGCTAAGAGGTAACTGATTTTGAAATGAAAAATCAACTGGGCTACATTTTGCAATTTGGATTTCAATTTACACAACTTCAAAGTAGTTTATTCCATAAAGTAAGAATTGTAGCCAATTAAAATCCAAATTAAACTCACAGCTTGGCCATTTTATCCCGATTGTTGCAATTTGGATTTGACTTTAATAAAATCCAGTCTTTGGTGAATAATACTTCTAAAAAAGCACGATAAACTCCAAGAACTCGAAGTCACTAAGGGGTTAATCTCATATCCAGTGCAGGATGAAGGTCAGGGAAGAATCATGTCTGGGATACATCACCTGTGTTGGAACACAAAATATCACTTGTTAGTTGGCAGATGAGCCAGTCAGGGCATCGTGTAGTGTTATATATGCTGGATGCCAGCCTGGGCACTGACCTGAATCAGTGTGAGGGTTTAGGATTGCATGTTTGGAGATCTGTGCCCAGTCTGAGCAGCCATGCAGGGCTGGCACACAGTATTGATGATCAGGCAGGGCTGGTATAGTATAGCTGGTACATAGTATTGATGATCAGGCAGGGCTGGTATAGTATAGCTGGTACATGGTATTGATGATCAGGCAGGGCTGGTATAGTATTGCCGGGTGGTATATTGTATTGATGATCAGGCAGGGCTGGTATAGTATAGCTGGTACATAGTATTGATGATCAGGCAGGGCTGGTATAGTATTGCTGGTACATAGTATTGATGATCAGGCAGGGCTGGTATAGTATAGCTGGTACATAGTATTGATGATCAGACAGGGCTGGTATAGTATAGCTGGTACATAGTATTGATGATCAGGCAGGGCTGGTATAGTATAGCTGGTATATAGTATTGATGATCAGACAGGGCTGGTATAGTATAGCTGGTACATAGTATTGATGATCAGGCAGGGCTGGTATAGTATAGCTGGTACATAGTATTGATGATCAGACAGGGCTGGTATAGTATAGCTGGTACATGGTATTGATGATCAGGCAGGGCTGGTATAGTATTGCCGGGTGGTATATTGTATTGATGATCAGACAGGGCTGGTATAGTATAGCTGGTACATGGTATTGATGATCAGGCAGGGCTGGTATAGTATAGCTGGTACATAGTATTGATGATCAGACAGGGCTGGTATAGTATAGCTGGTACGTAGTATTGATGATCAGACAGGGCTGGTATAGTATAGCTGGTACATAGTATTGATGATCAGGCAGGGCTGGTATAATATTGCTGGTACATAGTATTGATGATCAGGCAGGGCTGGTATAGTATTGCTGGTACATATTATTGATGATCAGGCAGGGCTGGTATAGTATTGCCGGGTGGTATATTGTATTGATGATCAGACAGGACTGGTATAGTATTGCCGGCTGGCATATAGTATTGATGAGAGTAGCTGCATGACTGGATGGGGTTAATGAGAATGGGATGGGGCTTCAGCAAGCCTTGCCTCCCCAGCTGATCTCTGACAGGGGGTGTGCCAGGCAGCAGTGTACCAGCTTTCCCCGGGACAGTGCCACATGCAGAAGCCTGGGGGGGCACAATGTGGCCCCTGTGCATGGAGCCATGGCACCCAGACTGAGCCCCCGCAAGGCCAGAAGATTCCTCTTTGCCAGCACCCTGTGCTTCTCCTGCACACTGCTGTGCTACAGCCTGCTTCTCCGCAGCCCGCCTAGTATGCACATTGAGGGGTACCAGCAGCTCAGCTGCCCTCTGCCCCCAGCATCAGGGGGCAAAAAACTCCTGCAGAAGATGCCCCCCTGCCCTCTCTCGGCAGCTGCTCTACCTCCCAGCAGCACAGAGGAACCCAGGACCAGCACTGCCTGGAGTGGCAGAAACCACACTGAGCACTCCCAAATCAGACGGGTCTCCCCTAAACCCACTGAGCATCAGATGTACCCCTTAGGGAACAGCACGGCCACCCCCAGATATGGGCACAAGAGACTCCCCCAGGCTATTATTGTGGGGGTTAAAAAAGGAGGCACCAGGGCTGTGCTGGAGTTTATAAGGGTGCACCCCGAAGTTCGAGCCATGGGAACTGAACCCCACTTCTTTGATAGGAACTATGAGAGGGGTCTGGACTGGTACAGGTATGTAAGCTGGAGATTTACTAAGCATTGCGCATTGATTCATACTGTAATCATCTCAGCAGCTATTTAAAAAAAGCATTCCAAAAATCAGTTTTGTTTTATTTTTTTATTTTATTAAAATTATTATATAGTCTTCGGAATCTTGATTATCGATTAATGGTCACTAAAAGGAATCACTACCTGACATTACTGGTTCCCTGTCTGATCTGCTACAGCTTTAACCTGGGGGCTGTTCAGAAATAACTAAAAATATCTTAAAAGACAAAAATGGCATATTTTGACATGTCACCCATTTACTAGAATGATGTGTTAGCTAGCATCACATCTTAAATTGTACCCAGAGCCTGTCACACTCAATGCTTTGCCATTAAATAGGACCTGAACATGTTAGTAAATTTGCTTTGGGGATCGGTTTACATCGCATTATGGATAAGGCTGAAATTGGATTTTTGGCTGCAAGATTCTGCAAAGGAAACGTGTGTTTTAATTCGGTTTAAATTGGCGAGTTACAAAGTTAAACAATGTTAAATAGGTTAATGACTCAGGGAATGTCTAGCCGAATAGATACTGTGACTATGTAAAAACAACACACAGCATGGGAGGTCTGGCTGGGAGTGATGGGAGTCAGGAATGTGTTTCCAGTACAGGACTATGGAGCTTCCACTAGGAGAGTATTGTAATAATTGTGGGTTCACTGATTGATTATTAGTTCATAGAGTGGCATTGGTGGCACACTCAGATGGCAAATACAGGGCATTAAACAGCCTGAGATTGATGGGTCCTTACCATAAAAGCTGGACCCCCCATACCGCCTCCGCCTTCTCATTAAGGTTATTTGTGAATTGCACAGCATGGAATTGGTATCTTTTATTAAATACAAATATAAGGGAAACAAAACAATCACCATTAATTCAGTAAAATAGATTAGACAGGAAACACCTTGGGAGTTGTGTGAGCAGCAGGACAGCCAGGTACATGGGTAAATAGGAGAGGGCACTAGCTCTGTACTGCTTGCCCATTATTAAATATTAGATTAAACAAATAAATAACTAAATAAATAAATAAAATGAAAAATAAATTTAAAAATCAAATATATATGTTCTATCTATCCCTCTATAATGTATCTATCTGTCTATCTATCTATCTATCTATCTATCTACTGTCTATCTATCTATACTTTATCTATCCATCTATAATTTATATATCTATCTATACTTTATCTATCTATCTGTCTATCTATCTATCTATCTATCTGTACTTTGTGTATGTATCTGTCTGTCTATCTATCTATCTATCTATCTATCTATCTATACTTTGTCCTATCTGTCTGTCTGTCTGTCTATCTATCTATCTACACTATCTATCTATCTATCTATCTATCTATCTGTACTTTGCCTATCTATCTATCTATCGATCTATCTATACTTTGTCTATCTATCTATCTACACTCTATCTATCTATCTATCTATCTACACTCTATCTATCTATCTATACTATATTGGTCCATCTATCTATCTAGCTGTACTTTGTCTGTCGATCTATCTAGCTATCTATCTATACTTTGTCTATCTATCTATCTATCTATCTATCTGTCCACTGTCTGTCTATCTATCTATCTATCTATCTATCTATCTATCTATCTATCTATCCTTTGTCTATTTATCTGTCTGTCTGTCTATCTGTACTTTGTTTATATATCTGTCTATCTATCTATCTATCTATCTATCTATCTATCTGTACTTTGTCCATCTATCTATCTATCTATCTATCTATCTATCTATCTATCTATCTGTACTTTGTGTATATATCTGTCTGTCTATCTATCCTTTGTCTATTTATCTGTCTATCTATCTGTACTTTGTTTATATATCTGCCTATCTGTCTGTCTATCTATCTAAATTATATCTATCTATCTATCTATCTATCTATCTATCTCTCATCTATCGATCTACACTCTATCTATCATCTATCTATCTGTATTTTGTCTATCTATCTGTACTTTGTTTGTATCTGTCTGTCCATCTATCTATCTATCTATCTATCTATCTGTACTTTGTCTATTGATCGATCGATCTATCTATCTATCTATACTTTATCTATCTATACTTTGTCTATCTATCTATCTATCTATCTATCTATACTTTGTCTATCTATCTATCTATCTATCTATCTATCTATACTTTGTCTATCTATCTATCTATACTTTGTCTATCTATCTATCTATCTATCTATCCTCTATCTATCTATCTATCTGTACTTTGTCTATCTATCTATCTATCTATCTATCTATCCTCTATCTATCTATCTATCTATCTGTACTTTGTCTGTCTATCTATCTATCTATCTATACTTTATCTATCTATCTGTACTTTGTCTATCTATCTGTCTATCTATCTATCTATCTATCTATCTATCTATCTATCTATCTATCTATATATCTATCTATCTGTACTTTGTCTATCTATCTATCTATCTATCTATCTATCTGTACTTTGTCTATCTATCTAGTCCATTAAGAGTTGCTAGATATTCTATTTAATTTATTATTTCAGCGTTCTATACAGATTCCTATAAGAAGCATTATATACAATGATGTAATAACAGTTAAATTGCAGAGTAGGGTTCCAGCCAGGATTCCCATAGTCACCGGACCCCTATTGGCCCCACTTATCGGCGTGATTGGGGAACATAGTTCTGTTTTCATGGCACAGGACAGACAGATTTGTGTTTCCAGAAAGTGAATCCCAGACCTGTCCTTTCTCCAAAGCCCAGCAGAAAGCAAGCAATGGAATGGAGGCATGCATTGGGTCACCCTATCGCCCATGGTGTCAACCAAACCAGGTCCTCTGCTGAAAACAAAATCCCATGAGGCTTGCAAAGGATCATGGGAGCTGTTGCTGATAGAGATTGCCTTTACCACCTCTGCTGGACAGTTATTCCATGTACTTCCTACAATTAATATATTACTCCTTCCACACAGCAGGCATGCGCAGAACACCATGGGAATTAGACATTTTCAGCCAAAACAGCCTGGCATACAATGTAAATATTACAAAAAATGAAAAAAAAAAATACATTACTAACTTTCAGGGCTGTACAAAACTTAGAGCCCACTTTAAAATATATAGAGAGAGGACGCGTTCTGTAATGTTATTGGGAGTGCACACTTAACAACACTTTAACATGATATATTTCAGAATTATTAATATTATTATAACAGCCAGCAACTGACAAAATGATCTATTCACTAAAAAGAGAATTCAACGTAAATTTCAAATTTAAAAGCATACTATAATGTTCCTTTAAGGCCAAAATAGTACATTCTCTTAGTCAGGTATGCTTCCACTTTGACTTCTCTGGCCTTAAATTTGATATTCACTTTGAATTCTCATGATGTTTCCGAACTACATTTCCCATCATCCATAGCCACCCTTGAGTTTTTATCACAGGTCTAGAGTTTTCATTTATTAAAGCACGTTTTATTGCTATACCGGCCATATCTTATCTACTAAGCAGTCGGAAAGACAGTGATGAGTCAGTACAATTGTAAAATCTATCTTGGTACAAATGTATAGATCTGAATGCTGATAACTGCAACCATTTCAAGTCCAAGGAATAGGCAAAGCTTAACCCCTTAAGGACACATGACGTGTGACATGTCATGATTCCCTTTTATTCCAGAAGTTTGGTCCTTAAGGGGTTAATACCTCTACTCTGTTAGTAGTACGTATAACTATATATCGTTCTGTCTGTAACCCCACCGATGAATATTTACTACGTTTCTAAAGTCTCTAGGTGAGCTCACTATAGAAGACTTCTTAAATATATAGCTCACCCCAAATTCACTCATGGGGTTAAATTATCCCTGTGCTATTTTCTTTTTTTAAATGCTGCTTTGAAAACAGAGAGGCCCCCGTGAGTTCCCTTTTTCAGGCTGTACACAGCATTGTGGAATACAGGTATTTTTTTTTCGTGATAGATGGCTTGCCACAACTGTTATGGTATCATAGGATTTGGCTAACCACTTGTCATGAAGGTGTTAAAATCGCAGTAGACAAGTATTGTAAATAATATTAATCTAGTATTGGAGAGTCCTGCAATATTTATTCACTAAATAGAGCTTATCATGGGCTAGATATTTTACAATCTCTATACCAAGCTCTGCGCACCACGCTCTGTACAACATCATTTTCTATCCAACACACGGATCTCTCCTGCATAATATTTTTGGGAGAATTTGACTTGAGATGGTTTATGGTTTTGCTGTTTAAAGGATATCTGTTTTGTTTATCAAGATCCCACAGGAGTCGATGTCATTATTTAAAGGAAAACTGTCACCTCAAAACTTTATTTTCATAAAATAATCCGATCATCACGTTTTGAATGGAAACAGAATTTTTTTTTTAAATGTAGTATATATTTAAAAAAAAAATTTTTAAAAAGAGAGAGAAGACCAACAGTTAGTCTCTATGGTTATCCCTGTTTCCGTGAAAAGAGTGAAGTATGGAAGACCATATAGACTGTCGGTATTCAAACACTGTCTGACGCAAGGTCTGTGTATGTGGCTGAAGGATCCTGTCATATACTAAAGGAGGAATGAGTTTTGCAAATTTTTTACATATATTTAATTTTAAAAAAAATCTCTGTTTTCTTTCAAAGCTTGACAAAAGTATTATTATATCAAAAATAATTTTGAGGGGACAGTTTGTCTTTAAATTATTTTCTCTCTAGATAATACAGGTCTAAGAATCATGGGAAATGTAGTTTAAGAACAGCTTTGAGAGTGTTTTCTTATTGTGTTTCACTGACATTCTGTGCTTAGATATATGGACAGAATTCACATTAGCTGCCTGGTCTTCTATTTCCTGGCTGGCTGATTGACGCTGCTGGAGGTGGAGTTATACCACAGGCAGCATAGAGGTTAAACTCAATGTGGGCAATATTTCATAGCAAAACTCTGCACAAGCACCATAACCGCTTCAAATCACTAAAGTAGTCATGGTTCTTGGAGTAACATTAAAACTAAAACATTATTTTTTTTTTTTTTAATTCTTTATTTAGTCGTGCGATAATAGAACAATTTTACCTATTCTGCCACAACAGCAGAAGTAGGTTATGAACAAGCATACAATTGCGAGGCATAGGTAAGTATCAACGATTAGACAGCACTTTTTGTAGTATATCAACTGCATTTGATAGGACATGTCGGTGATGAGGTGAGTGCTTTTCGGGTGCAACAGGGCATGTCAGTGCTCACGGGGTGAATCAAAGCTTGTAGTTGCGGGTCTGAGACTAGGTGTTGAGCTAAGAAGGTTTTTATCGTATGTCCATTGTGTCACTATCTCAGGTCCCTGCTCCTAACAAACAATACTCTATACGATCTGCAACTAGGTGTGTCGCTGTTAGGGGTGGTGTCTGTGTATGGTTATGTGACAGGAGGGTCAGGAGTGTATTTACATTCCCTTTGGCTTCACTCTTATGTCTGCGTGTTTCACTAGATCGTTTATGTACCGTTTTGCTATTTGTGCCCCTAACCAAGGGGGCGGCGGGGGGGGAGGGGGGGTTGATAGAGCATCTCTTAATGCTGTCTGAGGTGGGTCTGGGTGCCCTTAAGGAGGGTCCCCGTTGTTAAAGGAGTATAGGTAGAAGACCCTGTCATACAGGTTGGGGATGGTAAGTGTTCTCGGGTATTCAACCTATATACAGATAAACCAACATTCGCATTGCTATTATCTGGGTGAGCCGACTACTTATAGTCTTTTTGTAGTGTCCTTGGTATTGTTTCTTCTCGCCGTGATTGGGTGGGCAAGCGGTGCTTCAAGCCAAGGGAGTGCCATTCTCTAGGTCCCTCTGGCCCTCTGATGTGTCTACAGTTGTCAGTCCCAGCGTTTCAAGAAAAGATGAGGCTTCCGCAAGCGAGGTGAGTGTGAGGGTAGTCCCATTGTGTGTAGTTAAGAGTGAGCCCGGCGCTCCCCACCTGTAGGTGATATTGGCGGTACGTAGTTGTTGGGTCACTGGATGAAGTGATCGGCGCCACTGTAAGGTGGCCCTCGTCAAGTCCTGATAGAAGGTGAGACTAGAGTCTTCAAACATTAGTGGGGTCTTGCCCCGCAGCGCTATCATTATTTGTCCCTTGTCAGAGGAAGATGCACAGCGAAGTATAACATCCCGAGCTGTTTGTGAGGCGGCTCTTAGGGGGCCCGCGACCCGGTATATTCCGTCAATCACCATTTTTCTTGCCGCCGCTGGAGGTAAGATTGTTGCCAGTAGCCTTCTTGTGTAGTGCGGCAGTTCATCAGTGGAGATCTCTGCAGGGATGCCTCGTACCTTGATGTTGTTGCGTCTATGGCTGTTCTCGAGGGCGTTCAGGTGTAAGGCCATATTGTGGTGGGATTTTTGGAGCTGGTGTACCGAGTCTTGCACTTTTGTTAGGTTAGTGGTGACTTCGGCTATATCAGCCTCTGTGGCCTGTACCCGGTCTTTTGTACTCTGTAACTCTGCTTTTATTCCTGTTAGTTCTTGCGACAGGATTTTGTGAAACTCATGTAGGAGGATTTGTAAGTCATGTTTAGTCGCTGGTGGTGATCCCTCCGGGGGTGCTGGTGGTGCTATATAGAGGTTATTTCTCTCGGTTAGTTCAGCTTGAGCTGTTTGGGTAGGACTAGGCTGATTTTCCTCTGGGGTCTGTTTGGGCCTAGCAGGCCGCTGAAGCATGGCCCCGATGTCTCTACCTTCTATCTGGGTTCCAGCTTTCTGGGAGCGTCGCCCCATGGCGGGCATGAAGTCTCCCGAGGTGGAAGGGGATCCGATGCCCGGGTTACTTGTAGGGCCTTGATAGGCTCCACCGTAGAGCGCCGCTAGGGTAGGCAGTGTGTGCGCGGAGTAGGCCCCGGGCTTGCGCTTCTGCTTCTGCTTCTGCGTCTTTGTTTTCGCAAAGAAGGGCATCTATCGATGCAGTGCGGGTTCCCAGGTCGGTGTATGTGTTTGGGGTGGTGGGATCAGGCTTGATGGTCAAGATTTAGGCGAGATTTTAGTTTAGATGTCGGAGCTGTCAGAAATGGCGTCTGATCAGCTCGGCAGTTGGCTCCGCCCCCCTAAAACATTATTTTTATGTTTATTTACAATTTTACAAACAGTTTGTTAGCTGTTGTTACCTAAAATAGGAAACTTACTTTAAATTCACTTTGAATTTCAGACAATTCACACTTGAGTGAATAAGCCTGAATGATTGTTTCATGGTCACTTGCTGGGTTATAGGCTATGGATAAGGAACCGTTCTGGGACTAGAGTTCTAAACATGGTTTAATCACTTGGAAAACGAATGGAACGTTCCAACCGCTTGCTATTTTCTTAGCGCCTAATCCAGGAATGCAGATTTTTATACATAACCTCAGCAATGCAACCAATGTTAAATTCAGTAAATTTCACCATATTTCTATATTTTATGTTTTGTATGGTGTGAGGGTTAATCTTCATTGAGTAGTTTAGGATTGTTTGACTCCTCTTAGTCGAAAGCAATACATGGATAAGCTACTTATTGGATTGTAGCGTATTAATGGTAACAGGGTTTTTACATCATATTTCCTTCCAAACAGACATAGGCATGCAAATTCAAAGAAATTAGATTACCTTTTCCCGTGACTGTGTCAGAGCTCATGTTTGGCTCATTTGTGTGTGTTTGATTTCCCTAGTGTCTGTAATCCCCGTGTCAATTCTACGCAATTTTACAGAATAAATCCATCAATGTCTAGGACACTGCACATAAACATGTTATATAATACTCTGCTGAGGAACAGGCTGGCTAACTGGTGCCAGAAAAAATTAAACCACTCTAAAAGGGCTGACTACTTACAATAAGGTCGGCCACCAGGGCACTCCTGACACAAAAACCACTACAGCCGCTGCAGTGGATATGGTGCTACTAGTATTCCTTTAAGGTAATTTTCACTCTTCTCAGCAGAACTGGGACTTTAAAGAAAACAGCTGGGGCAGGGGACCAAAATCAGGACTGTGTTTGGGATAATTGGCAAGTACTCATGGGATCAGTAACACCACAACAACCTGCACAACAACCTGTAGTGGTTATAGTGCTTTCAAAGTGTCTATACAACCACACTTACAATGGCTGCTTGGTTTCTAACAAACTTTCTACGGCACAGTTTTGTTTTTCGCCTTCCTATCCTGTTTTGTTTGTTTGATTCTTTGTCCTGGTATAATCTGTTTTTTTTGTTTTTTTTAAAATGTAAAATAGATTATTATATTTGCCCTAATAGCCTGTTGATCAAATTGAGAAAGCGGTTATAGCTGCGTATAACCGATGGTGCAGGGCCTCGACACCGTAAGTAGGGAGTAAACAGTAAATGTTTTTGTCCATAGATTGTATCTTGTCATATGTTTTAATTTACTGTCGGACTGTGGCAGTATATATATCTCCCATGTGTTCAGACGTCATTGCTACACTTGCAAAAAAATTCCAATCCTTATCGGATAAAACTTATATACCACCAGCCCAATGTGGATCACCATATATAAACTACATGTTCCATGATGCTCTGCTAGTCTCGAAGCTAATCATTACATCTCTAGGAAATGACATTACTCAATAAAACATTGAAAATCACTTGTGACTTGTAATGTGACTTTTCATGTGATGCTGTGCTTTCTTATAAATGGATATTAAAGATTTAGCGATTGACATCACAATCCAGTTCAGTCCTGGCACAGCCAAGGCACACACACACTGAACTGAAACATTACATTATTCCCTCCTCTACATACTACAATCAATGACAGACAGACAATTACATTGTTGTTTTAAAAATGATTAATGGAGTCAAAATGGAGGCAGTCAGTTTCAGAACAGAGCTGAATACAGCCGTGTGGATTTCTACAATTCATTTTATTTTTCAGACCTCACATGCTAATTTGTGTTAAACATAGGGGATAAGTACATGTAATATTAAATAGCCTGTAGCAGGATAGTTATTATCTAACTGGATTGTATATGTAAAGTGTGAGCCAATAATTATTTAATGCATTATATTGCTACTGTATTCAAAAATATTGTCAAAAATATATATATTTTTTTAATTCTTACTTTCATCCTTCCCAGCCAAACTTATGTTTAGTGGGTCACCTGTCTCCCCGGGATGAGGGGCATTACATTCTGGTGTAAAGGGCTAATTCTTTCTCCTATTTTGCATATAGAATACGTATAGAATGCAGAGAATTGGGGTGAATTGAAAACCAGATTGCAAAATTCAGTCCAAAATAACAACAAAGCTTTGACTCTAGATGATTTATATTTTATTTTTCAAATCTGCACATTCTCCCGTAAATTTTCGCAATTCAGTTTACTACAATTTGCTGTTTCGTGAGTAAATCACATCACGCTGTTTTAATCTCTGCAAACACCATTCTGATGAACAGACAGAAGCAAAATCTTAAGGTTAGGGAATGAAAACAAACATGTCTGACAATAAACCTCCAATAATGAGCGATTCAGGTGAGATCAAAGCAGCAATATTTGAAGGAATCCGCTCTAAAATACTTGTTTTTCTGATCTGTTGCTCTGTTAGCACTGAAAACACTTTGTTCTAAGCAGAATAGTCATTTTGAATAATTTAATTCAAAAATGCTCCTTTTACTGAGCTTATTAGTGAGCAGTTAGAATATATATAGAGATGATGAATGAAATTGGCAGATGGATATTAATGTACAGCCTTAATAAAGTTATGATGAAGAAGACTAATGTTAAACTTATTGTCTTTTATTAGTAATTTCTGGCAATTCAGGTAATTCTCGAAGTTATCTTCACTCTTCATTGACTCACGGGTGATCCACTGCTAAAAGCCGCAGAGTACAGTGATTAGTGCTCCAACTGCGATTTCACACAGTGTTAGTACTCACTAAAATGTGAATTTAAATGAAATTCAAAGGGAATTTCAAATTTTAGTGAAAACATTGCTGAAAGTAATACATAATTGAGTATGAGAATTCTTCAATTTTGGCCTATTTTTCAATAAAATATTCTGCACATTAAACACTCCCGCCAGCCTAAACTGTCGACACAAGGCAAGACATGAATTAATGATATTTTCACCAAATTCTGGCTTTGTTGTCTACATGTCACAGCAGAGACACCTGATCATTCTTCTTCTGTCCGTTTTTGAGCACCTGTGATCGGAAGCCTCAGTTTTCTGTTGTCTGTATAAATGGAACCCAGTGAGGTCTTCTGCTGCTTAGCCCATCGAATTAAAGGTTTATAATACTTGATCCATTCTGTTCATTTTAATGTGCCCTGTCTCATTAACAAATTATTTTTATCCTTGGATCGGACCCTTGCTTAATTCTTTTTTTCAAACCATTCTCTGTACAGTCTACAGACTTTTGTAAGTAAAAAAAATTCTTTTTAATTTCCGGCATACTAACCCACGTCTCGAAGCAGCCATTGTTCCATCGTCAAAAGTCACTGAGATCATAATTCTTCCCCATTCTGATCTTTTATCTGAACAAGAACTGGACCAAGCCAAACCAACGTACGCATTGCGTTGTCCTCCTGTAGTTGGCGGATTAGATATTTGCATTAACAAGCAAGCATACTAGCACTTATAATTACCGCAATATCCTACCTAACTATGACAAAGTAACCAGAACAGATATCAAGAGCACTAATAAAAAAAGTTTATTACTCATTAAATGACCGTGTAATCACATAGGATTAGTCACCATTTAAAAACGTTATATAAATATTCATTATTAACAAAGAAAATAAATGATCCACAGAAATAGGCTTAGCACCGACAGCTATTGCTGACCCGGTCAGATCACTGGAGACACTGGATTTTCAGTAAGATCTGTTAGGTTTCACCTGTTAATTTTCGCTGTGATCAATAAGAATCGACAGAAGACACACGGCTGCTCATATAGAACACAGCCCATTATGTCTTGGAATATTTAAACAGGGGAGAGATGATCAGAGCAGTAAAATTAAAGGTTAGAAAAAAAGAAAACACGCACACACAATCCATGTGGATTGTAATTAATAGACTGTCTTCCAAAGAGATCAATAATTCTGATCAGACACATAATGAGAAAATCTATAGGGTGTTGTGATTAGATCCTGGCAGTCACTTCTCTCACTCACAAGTCTGCCCCTTCATTTATTTCCTTGGCTAGGTGCGTTATATTCTTCAAACTCTTTGTGACAGGTCATCTGTGAGTTATAGCAGCCAAAGCAGCATATATATGAACGCTAATTACGTAGCATACAAAGGAATTCAACTCAGATAAGGGAGGTAGCATTTATTGCTGGATATCACCTTGGTGGAGTGCCTTTAAACTGTGGTCCATTATTTTCCAAATTAGAAGGAACAGAAGTAATAATATACAAAGTGGACAATTGAAGGACTGATAGACACCCTCATCAATCTGAGGTCAGAATAGGGAATTCCATAAAGCAACATTGTACAGAGAGCCTGGAATTAAAACAGGAAGTGCTTGGTGAGGAGTTTCCTGTTCTGCTTCATTTCCCTAATGTACATTAAAATGTGTTTAAAATTAAATGCGGCTTACATATACATTTATTGTAGAAAGTTCAATAACGATTACTCACTTAATCTGGTTGGCTTCCTCAGTCTTAATTTTCGTTTAAATACCTTTAATTAAACACATTTTATCTCCTAGCAAAACACAATAAAACACTGAGATATATTATTGTTAATCTGGTCTAGAGAGTAGGTATGGAGACACTGAAAAGATATTTATAATATACTAACAGCCTAAGACTCGTTTGTTTACCTCTTCAAAGTTAAGGTAAGTATCTGCTAATTTATTTTCATGCCTGTACTGTACACATGGGAATTGTCCATCTTGGCTCCAGTAGGTTGGAGTTGACCCTTTTGGCACGCAGTAGTATTTGCTGATCATAGTTTGCTAAATTGATGTAATAGGTTTTGGGGCTTGAGTTAGGCATTGTGATTCAGGCTGGGGTTAGTGGTTATTCATAAGGTTTAGAGAAGTTTAGGGAGTTGAATTAGGGTTAGGTAAAATTTAGAAATCATGATTAGGAATTGTCTTTAAGATGTGTTTAAGGAGTGTTTTACTACATGTCCCATTACTGTCTGCAAGGCCAGGACTTCTTCATCTTCAGCAACCCATTCTCCCCATTTCTTGGGTTATTGAATAAACTCATATGTGTACAGGTAACACTCTAATATAAATTGATTGATTTATTTATAAAATGTTTTACCAGGAAGGATCCATTGAGATTTCTCTCGTTTTGAAGTTTGTCCTTCGCCCACAAACAATGCATTGTTTGGGGGCCCATAGAGTATTAAAAATCACAGTATAATATTAAAAATACAAAGTAATATTAAAATACACATATATACATTTAACACAGAACAGGTAAGAAATATAATCAACCATGACTACAGGTGCATTCTGTACTGAGATATGATGACAGGGATCCCTTAAAGGACCACTATAGGCACCCAGATCACTTCAGCTAATTGAAGTGGTCTGGGTGCCAGGTCCATCTAGGATTAACCCTTTCTGCGGTAAACATAGCAGTTTCAGAGAAACTGCTATGTTTACCTATGGGTTAATCCTGCCTCTAGTGGGTGTCTCATTGACAGCCGCTAGAGGGCTTCCGCGCTTCTCACTGTGATTTTCACAGTGAGAAGACGCCAGCGTCCATAGGAAAGAATTGAGAATGCTTTCCTATGGACTGGCTGAATGCGCGTGCGGCTCTTGCCGCGCATGTGCATTCAGCCAAGGATGGTGAAAAGGAAGAGGAGAGTTCCCCGTGCCGAGGGAGCCTGGCGGGGGAAAACAGGTAAGATTTAACCCCTTCCATCCACTAGTGCCCGGTAGGAGGGGGGCACTGAGGGTGGGAGGGGACCTAGAGACCCTATAGTGCCAGGAAAACGAGTATGTTTTCCTGGCACTATAGTGGTCCTTTAAAGGATATTAGTGTGGAGGTAGATTGTGTCTTGGAGGTTATTCCATAATTGCAGTGCTCTGTATGAAAATTAGGATTGAGCTAAATATGCAATATAAGCAGAGTTGGTGCAATAACCCAATAACCCCTTCCATACACCACCAGGTACTCTACAAGGGAGGCCGTAGGCTGTATTTGGGGGTATATATATATATATATATATATATATATATATATATATATATAACTGGTATATTTTACTTTTATGTTTGCTATTTTTTAGAATCGGTAGCAAATCCCCTTCCAATAAAAATACAAAATAAAGAGAAGTTGTAGCGGAACGTCAATAATAAATCCACGAATTCCGCTGGTTCAGGAACGAATCCACAGTCAAGCGCTGAAACAACAAGGCAATATCCCCAACCTCCCAGTAACCGGACGAGACACAGTTCTGAGAGTCAACTGAAATCCTTTTAATCGGCTGGACAATTTATACAAGTCCCCATGCAAGGGGTTTCCTGAGTCCCTCCCCAGGGGCACTCCCAGAGGGGACTACATGGGGGACTTACATTACAGCATATTTCTCCCATCAGGCACCGCTGCACGAGAGGGATCATCTTCCCAGAATGCACCGTTAAGTGGATTATCCCCTCGTGCAGCAGAACCGACAATTCACACAAAAATCCATAACTTGTTGAATATATGGTGGATTTACACGAATGGACGTTCGGTAGATAGCTGGGGTCTGAGCGCATCATTCGTGAGATTACCGCTCAGATCTCAGCTAAAATAACCGAACGCCGCACGAAAGACAGATTTCTGATAAAACATATAAAAAGAACCGATTGCTTGCAGGGAACAAAATACCGAATGTCCCGAAACTCCCGAACGTCCTGGAGGCTCAGCGGTGTTCGTGCCGTCGAGTAGCCGTTTTTAGTACCATGCGTTCGACGACCTAGCACCGCTGAGGGAACAAAGGATCCAAGATGGCCGACCGCCGCATGGTCGGTAGTCGAACGACGGCCACCCAGGAGAGCCTCTAATAACCGATTGCAACATTGTTGCAATCGGTTAACTAGCGCCACACGCCTCTAAGTGTGTGGGCTATTAGGGGGTATTGCGTTCGGTTCACGAACGGCCCTCCAAAGTGCCGTTCGTGAAACGAAAGAAAATCCCCATACAAAACCGCCATTTGCATTCGGTTAAAGGCAATGCAGAACATACATAAAGCATACACATACAGAATGAAGCACATATCTCTCTAGACATACAGGCAACCCTTAAAGGCACAGTCTCTTTGTATTGTCCAAGTGGCTAGGTTTGCCACAATGCTCCCCCAGAACCAAGCCGGCATACACAGTCTGATCCCAACGGATCGGCTTGGGGATGTCCGGAGGAGGGCTCACAGATCACTTCTCAAGGTCTGTTTGTCTGGACAACCCGTCGGCGTTACCGTTTTGTTTCCCTGGGCGGTAATGGATCGTAAAGTCAAAGGGCTGCAGCGCCAAACTCCAGCGCAGCAGCCTGGCATTGTCCCCAGCCACACGGTTTAGCCATACCAACGGGTTGTGATCTGTGAGCAAAGAAAAGGGTTGCCCATAGAGATATGGCTGTAACTTTTTCAGGGCCCACACCACGGCCAGGCATTCTTTTTCTATGGCGGCGTAGCTCACTTCTCGAGGTAACAGTTTTCGACTCAAATATGCTACGGGGTGTTCTCCGCCATCGGCTCCGACCTGGCTTAATACTGCTCCCAATCCAAACATGGAGGCGTCTGTGTGGACAAGAAAACGTTTAGTTGGATCGGGAGCAGCCAGTACAGGGGCATTAGTTAGAGCCGTCTTCAGTTGATGGAATGCCTGTTCACACTCTGGGGCCCAGATGACCTGCCTGGGCAGGTTTTTCTTCGTCAAGTCAGTCAGGGGTTTGGCCAGGGCACTGTAATTGGGCACAAATTTTCTATAATACCCTGCGGTACCTAAGAAAGCAAGGACTTGGGTTTTGGTCCTAGGGGTAGGCCACTGGGCTACAGCTTCAATCTTGGCGGGCTCAGGCTTCTGTTGCCCGCTACCAACCCGGTGTCCTAAGTACTGGACCTCTGCCATCCCTATGTGGCATTTGCTGGGTTTCAAGGTAAGCCCTGCCTCCCGGATCCGATCTATTACAGCCCCTATATGCTGTAGGTGATCCGACCAGGTCTGACTGTAGATGGCAATATCGTCCAGGTATGCACACGCATAATCCTGGAACCCGTCCAGTAGCCGATCCACCATCCGCTGGAAAGTCGCGGGGGCGTTTTTCATCCCGAATGGCATGACTCTAAACTGGTATAAGCCAAACGGGGTGACAAACGCCGACTTGGGGATGGCGTCCTCGGCTAGTGGAATTTGCCAGTATCCCTTACACAGATCTATTGTAGTGAGATACTGACCCCTGGCCATCCTATCTAGCAGTTCGTCTATCCGAGGCATCGGGTAGGCGTCCGACACGGTTTTGTCGTTCAACCTCCGGTAGTCCACGCAGAACCGAGTGGTACCATCTTTCTTGGGAACCAGGACTACCGGCGATGCCCAGGGGCTATCGGAGTGTTCGATAACCCCCAACTGCAACATCTCCTCAATCTCTTTCCTCATGTGTTCCCGCACGGATTCAGGAATCCGATATGGGGTCTGTCGCATGGGAAGCTGTCCCGGGGTTTCTACTCGGTGAGTGGCTAGTGGCGTGTACCCAGGTAAGTTAGAAAAGGTGGCACTCTTTGTCGCTATCAATTCTTGTACCTGGGTACGCTCTTGAGGACTTAGCCGCTCCCCCAGCTGAACCCCTTGGGAGGGCTCCTTCTGCTCCTCCTGCTCTAGTAGATCTGGAAGAGGCAAGTTCTCCTGATCTTCTGAGGCGGGCGTGCAAATAGCTGCCACGTCCTCAGTTCGCTCATGGTAGGGTTTGAGCATGTTCACATGGAGCATGCGTCTCTTCCCTACTCCAGAGCATGGGCCGATCACATAGGTGGTGTCGCATCTCTGCTCTACCACCTGGTATGGGCCCTGCCAGACGGCCTGCAGTTTATCGGTGCGAACAGGTTTGAGGATTAACACCTTCTGTCCCACTTGAAAACTACGGTCTCTGGCCCCTCTGTCATACCAACGACGCTGTCGTTGCTGGGCGGCCTGGAGGTTCGTGCGTACTGCCTGGGTCAATTCCTCCAGGCGATCCCGGAACGCCAGTACGTATGGTACAATAGGGGTCCCATCTGCGCTACCCTCCCCCTCCCAATGCTCCCTAATGAGATCCAATGGTCCCCGGACCCTTCTCCCAAATAACAGTTCAAATGGGGAGAAACCGGTAGACTCTTGGGGTTCCTCTCTGTAAGCAAATAACAGATGGGGAAGGAATCATTCCCAGTCCTTATGGGTCTCTCCGAATGTACGGAGCATCTGTTTTAGGGTACCGTTGAACCTCTCACATAATCCGTTGGACTGAGAGTGGTAGGCTGAGTTAATGATTGGTTTAATGCCACATATTCTCCATAACTGCTGAGTAACCTCAGCCGTGAATTGTGTCCCCCTATCGGAGACCATTTCCTGTGGGAACCCTACTCGGGAGAATATTTTCATCAGGGCTTCGGCCACGGTCTCAGCGTGGATATTTGTTAAAGCAATCGCCTCGGGGTACCGGGTGGCGTAGTCTACCACGGTCAATATATATCGCTTCCCGGAGGGGCTGGGCTTTGGTAGTGGCCCCACTATATCTACAGCTACACGTCTGAACGGTTCTTCAATTATAGGTAGGGGACACAGTTTCGCCTTGTGGCGATCCCCTCTCTTGCCTACCCTCTGACACACATCACAGGAGGTACAATAATGCCTCACATCTTTAGAAATCCCGGGCCAAAAGAAAGCATGTGTTAAGCGATATCGGGTCCGGGTCATCCCTAAATGGCCGGACAGAGGGATGTCATGGGCTATTCTCAGTAACTCATGCCTATACTTCTGGGGTACTACCAGCTGCTTAGTTTGGAGCGTCACAGAGTTTCCTATTGCCCTTTCAGCCACCCGGTACAGTAACTTATTTTCCCAAATGTACCATTCCCCCTCCCGCCCCACCTGGTCCGTGTCTACCCTATCTCGGTACACCTGCAGTGTGGGGTCTGTCTGAACCTCGGCTTCAAAAGTGGTTGGGGTGTCCCAGGTCATATTTGTCAAGGGAGGGTCATGGTTACTTACCTGAGCCTCAGAGTGTGTTGGTGGTGCCGTGGTGCGAGCCTGTTGCCGTGTGGTTACTGGGTGCGCCTCCTGTGAAGGGGCCTGAGGTAGGAAAGCGGAAGTCATCTGGCCCAAGTCATTCCCCAAAACCACATCTGCTGGTAACTTCTTCATGATTGCCACTTCTACAACCCCCTCCCCAGCACCCCAGTTCAAATGTACCTTGGCAGTGGGTAACCGGTACATGGCTCCCCCTGCTACCCGGACAGCCACTGATCCGCCAGTGTGGGCCGCATCTGGAACCAAATGTGGAGCAACCAGGGTCAAAGTGGCTCCCGAGTCCCTCAGCCCCTGTACTTCTTTCCCCCCCCACAAACACAACTTGACGGTGATGCTGCCTGTTGTCCGTGGCCTGTACCGACATCACTTCGTATAAAACTCCCAATGGTTCCTCGGTCTGCAGACTGACCAGCTCGGAGTTGTCAGGTTCCGTGTGGTAGTAATGAGCAGCTGCCCTTGGAGTGGAGTTTTGTCGTACCTGGTTCCATGCCTGTCTACTCCGATTCTGGGTACACTCCCGGGATATATGCCCCCACTGGCGGCAGGTATGGCATTGTATGTTGGCCCTGCCATTGTAGCGGGATGGCGGTGGGGGGTTCCCCGGTGCTGGCCGGAAGGGAGCAGAGTTGGTTGGTGTGGAGATGGTCGGGTGGTGTTGTACAGCTGGTCTCAGAGGACCCCTGTTGGGAAGCCCATGGTGCCTCCTGGCATCAAAGTGCTGATCCGCCAACCGGGCGGCTTCGGTTAGGGTGAGGGGTTTTCTGTCCCTTACCCATTCTTGTGCCTCTGGTGACAGTCCGTTAAAGAATTGCTCCAGCAGGATGAGTTGGCGCAGTCCCTCCATGGTGGTGGCTTGGCTCGCCTGAATCCACCCTTGTGAAGCTTGGTCAAGCTTATGTGCCCACTCAGCGTGGGAATCTTTTTCCGGCTTCCTCAATCCCCGAAATTTACGCCGATATGCCTCCGGGGTTATGGCATACCTCTCCAGAATTGCCCTTTTGACTTTAAAATAGTCCTTGCTGTCCTCTCTGGGCACAGCGCGATACGCCTCGGCTGCTCATCCTGCCAACTTGCCTGCTAGTAGGGGTACCCACATGGCCTGCTCCAGATCGTGTAGGTCGCATAACCGCTCAAAATCCTGCAGGTATCCGTCAATCTCATCCTTCTCCTCGCAGAACGCTTTAAATGCCTGGTAGGGTATTTTCTGCTTCACTGGAGCGCCGAATGAGTTGGCGATGGATTCTGCCCTGGATGGTGGCCCCTGGTGCTGCTGTGCCATAATGTAATCCTGTACGTCTGCCATCAGCACGGTCAAGATGTCCAGGGTTACTGGCTGTGGTACAAATTCCAGTCGGGTTCTCAGTTCCCTCTGATGGAAGGGGAACAAACACATTAGGACTGTATACTTTCAATAAACAGGAATTGTAAAAACTGTATATTGGCAATTCATAAACCAGGGCTACGTATTGACCCTTAAAGTGACACATTATGCACTGTAACTGCCACAGCTAATTGAAGTTGCTACAGTGTCTGGAGTCCTTCCATTAAGTGCATTTACCGCAGAGCACACAAGGAAACAATACAGGAAGAGCATGACGATTAGAGCTCCCTCACCGCACGTCCATTCTCCTCCCAGAGACTATATTTGGGCAGAGTAGGCACCTGCCATCCGGGTGAGCAGGTACCTAGTCTTCCTTAGCTCACAGCTGGCTGCCTCTTTGGGGTCCTAAGGTGGCCAGCGGGCCTGCTCCTGAGCACCCTTGAACAGCAGAACACTGACGACCTCAGTGACCCCTGACTCCAGCACAATGACATGAAATGGTTATAGTGCCTACAGTGTCCCTTTAACAAACTGCCTTTTACTAAGCATCCATTGTGATCATTCAATTTCGATACTGCGGTATATGAATTGTAGATATTACAGGCAGCACTTTACTGCTGGTTCATACAGCAACTTCTGACACTGCTTCGAGTTCACGGCTGTTGATCTAAATGTAAACCATTTGTGTTTCATCATGAGTAATTCATGGCTTTTTGTTTCATTATTATTATTTTAAATCCAGCTGTTTCATGTACAGTCTGGATACAGAACACCCTCTTTCTGACACTCTTTTGATTGGGAAATAATTGCAGCAGCTGCAGCTTATTATGAGATTTTTTAATGATTGGTGCTTTCTGTTACCTATGACAGAATTTCGCCTCACATTAATTATTTCCAGATAAATTAACTGCACTTAAACGCCTGCCTAGATAATACAGGAGCCACGAAAAAAAAATAACACTAACGGTGTTATTCATTAATGTATGAACTGTCTGCAAATCAAAGGGGTTTATTCGCCAAAATGTGAATTGATCGTTTTTTGAGATTTCTTAGTTTAGTTAAAAAACACTGCTAGACAGAAGTAATCGACTAGTTGTAAACCCACAAATCTCGTGACGCAATAGGTTGGCAAAGCATCATGGGAATTTCAAAATTAAGTGATCTCTTCCTTCAGTAAAAAAAAAAAAAGAGAACCTAAAACACAGATCCTAAACATTAGTGCTATTTAAAAGACGTCTTCCCCCGTGGGTAAAAACATATCAATTTAAGATTCTTAGAGAGTAGGACGATGTTCATGAAAAGTGATTTAATTACACGAGTAAGCACAGTGGCTTTCAACAAATCACAGCAAGTCATTATAGTTATACAAGGAGCTTAGTGGATTTGTTATGGATGAGTAATGAGTGGATCAGGGCCGGTGCAAGGATTTTTGCTGCCCTAGGCAAAAAAAATTTTGCCGCCCCATTTGTTCCACCCACTCATGCAGACTGACATACACTGACCCAAGCAGACACACACTGACCCATACTGATTGAAATGCACAAACACAAACTCTTCAAAAATACACATTGTGATATCCCATTGACCCACTTACCTTTCTTCATATTTGACTGCTTGTCATGTGTTCCTAGCCGCTTACCTTTGCTTTTCATGTGTGCCTGGCTGCCTTCACGCTGTCTCAGCCCCTGCTATGCTCCCGCCAACTTGTCCCCACGTACAGGGCAAGGGACGGGAGCGAGACATTAAAGCGCCCTCGCGCTGTTGTGGCAATGGGAGTCTTTGTGGGGAGCCTGGCTGAGCAGGCTGAAGTGGATGCCACCGGACCAGTGTTACACCGGTGTTACACCTGTAAAAATTCTTCATGTCAGTTATGGTTTGGCTGTGCTGGAGTTAAATTTGAAATTCACTTGAAATTCATTTTTAATTTTCACTTTAGTAAATAACCCTATCAGTGTCAGTGAACTAGATGGATGGGCTTCAATAAAAAAATATCTTTTGGGGAAGTTTTTAAAAATAATGTCTCCCCCTGGGCGTTCGACCCTTCTGCATTTTATTGATATCAGGGATTGTTGAGTATTTTGGGGAAGTTTTTATAAATAATGTCTCCCCCGGGCGTTCGACCCTTCTGCATTTTATTGATATCAGGGATTGTTGAGTATTTTGGGGAAGTTTTTATAAATAATGTCTCCCCCGGGCGTTCGACCCTTCTGCATTTTATTGATATCAGGGATTGTTGAGTATTTTGGGGAAGTTTTTATAAATAATGTCTCCCCCGGGCGTTCGACCCTTCTGCATTTTATTGATATCAGGGATTGTTGAGTATTTTGGGGAAGTTTTTATAAATAATGTCTCCCCCTGGGCGTTCGACCCTTCGGCATTTTATTGATATCAGGGATTGTTGAGTATTTTGCTTTCCTTACATCTAAACCTTCTGCATGATCTGTGGGTTTCCCTAACAGAAAGTAAGTAGATCTTGACTGTATTACTTTCTGAAAACTTTACCGCAATATTAATATTTAGAATATTTTTGGGACGCTTTTGCTTTGGCACCTAAAGTTATAAAACAAACACCTATACAATTAAAACATACCAATTGGTGACCGTAGAACTTTGCTGGAAGGAAACCTTTAGTTATGTCATTACACTAAATGAAATGTTGTGGAGATGCTACTTGGCCATTGTGGAAGTGGACGTTTGCATAAGGGCATCCAATAAGGGAGGGACTGGGGTGATTGAGACACATGGAAGGTACGGGAGGGGATTGAGACACATGAAATGGATGGGGGGTTGAGACACATGGGAGGGACTGGGGGGTAATTGACACACTGAAGGGGCTGGGTGGAATTAAGTCACATGGAGGAACTGGGGGAAATTGACACAAAGGAGGGGACAGGAGGGAATTGAGACACATGGAGGGACTGGGGGAAACTGACACATGGAAGGGACTGGAGGGGATTGAGACACATGAAATGGATGCGGGGGTTGAGACACATGGAAGGGACTGGGGGGGAATTAAGTCACATGGAGGAACTGGGGTAAATTGACACAAAGGAAGGGATGGGAAGGAATTATGACACATGGAGGGACTTGGGTGGAATTGACACATGGTAGGGATGGCAGGAAATTGAGACACATGGAGGGACTGGGGGGAATTGACACATGGAAGGGATGGGAGGGAATTGAGACACATAGAGGAACTGGGGGGAATTGATATATGGTAGGGACGGGAGGGAATTGAGACAGATGGAAGAGCTGGGTGGGGATGAGACACATGGGGGGCATGGTAATTCTTGCACCGGGGCCCGGTTGTTTCCAGTAACGCCTCTGGCTGTAGTGGTTATAGAGTAGCCCTTTTAAAGTCTAAACATTTAGACAACTTAAGGATTTTATTTTTATCTCTGTTATTTTGGCCTTAATTTTAATTTATTCTTTCCACATGCAGGAACCTGATGCCTCGATCTGTGGACCGGCAAATTACTGTTGAGAAGACGCCTAGCTATTTTGTAACACGTGATGCCCCACGCAGGATTTCCCACATGTCGCCCAAGGTCAAGCTGATTGTAGTTGTACGTAACCCAGTGACCCGTGCCATTTCAGACTATACACAGACCTTATCCAAGAAACCAGACATCCCCAGCTTCAGCGAACTGGCCTTCCGCAATCAAACCAGTGGGGAGGTGGACACTGCTTGGAACGCTATTAGAATAGGACTTTACGCTTTGCACCTCCAACCCTGGCTTAGCCATTTCCCCATTTCCCAGATGCACTTTGTGAGTGGAGAGAGACTCATCACAGATCCAGCTGGTGAGATGGCCAGAGTGCAAGATTTTCTTGGCCTCAAGCGTTTAGTGACTGACAAACATTTCTATTTCAACAAGACCAAGGGCTTTCCCTGCCTCAAGAAGCCTGGTGGTGGAGGAGCACCACGATGCCTTGGCAAATCTAAGGGACGGACTCATGTGCAGATAAACACTGAGGACATAGAGCAGCTGAGAGACTTCTACCGACCACATAACATTAAGTTTTATGAGATAGTAGGACAGGATTTTCATTGGGAGTAGAGCAGATACAGACACAGGCAGAGGTTGGAATATATAGAACAACTTATGTTCAGAAAGGATAAAGGGAAGGAGTGAAAACAAAAGTTACTCGTGGTTGTAGGTGAGAGATCAAGCAAGCTAACAGAAGCAATATCATTAACTAGCAGACACGAGAAAAATAACTCACAACGTCAGGTAGAAAATGGAGACTAGTCAGCTGGGTGAAAGAATGGAATATTATGGAATAGGACCATAGTGGATGCAATCGTTTAATGCTCATCGAAAGAAGTCCTAGCCTTTTCGCCAAAGGAAAAGGCAGCAAAGCGTAAGTTCGGCAAGAACTCTGAACAATAAGATTCAAAAGGTAGGAACTGGGATTGTGGAGGATAAATCAAAAGCTTTTCTCTACAGAAAATATACTTGAAGATGTATCACAGTCCCATTACAGCATCAAGTCCAAAGAGAACTGGTGGGTAGTCCTTGGATGTATTAAGCACACAAATCAATTAAATGTCGATTAACTAACAATAATCATGGGAAAGAATCAATGTGCATTCAATTTCCAGTACTCCTATCAGTAAAACCGCAACCAGGAGGCCTGTTGGTTCTACAACAAATCTACCCTTTTAACTTGTAGAGGGATACGAAACACGATGGTCTGTATGTATTCTCAATACAGTGTCTACTAAAGGACCGGTTTTACTGGAAGAATTCTGTACGCTCATCAGACCTCAGACACTTTACTTCAGATAAAGCACAAAGTGATAGAGAAATAGAAACACAAGAAGACTGTTGGTGGTGGTACTACACTATCCTAGACACACACCACAGTACTGATGGTGTGATGCCACATTTCTGTTAGTCTATGAGGGCAACTATGCAGTGCTCTTAAAAGTTGGTGCAGAAGATCAGCCCCATCTGGTAGATATGTGTTTAAACATCCTATTGTGGGCCTTAACTTACGTTATTGTTCCCCTTTGGATGGTGTACTGTTAAAAATGCTTCTGTTACCCCTGATATTTAATGTAAAGGTCTGTAGAAGTCAGATCTGGAGTGTTAGTATTATGGACGATGTAGACAACATATCGGATATCAAACCAGATTGTTTTACTGTATCCAGTTGGCTATGTATTATCAACACATCAGTTATCCAATGTTATATTCCACCCAAGTGAAAGTGAAGTAGAATGTCCTGTCTACCAAAGAACTACAAGAATTTAGTGGATCTTTTTAAAGATCTAAACACCTTTGAAAAAAGGCTCTGGGACTTTTGTGGTCTGTTTGCTAGAGTCCCATAAAACCATTCAACAATGAATTTGGTTCAAACTAAAAACACAGATAGTTCAAGGTTTAATTAGTTGTAGATTTGTACAAGGCAAAAAAAATTTGGTTCCTCCGAAAATTGATTTAAAAAAAAAAAATTTAAGGTGATTCGGGTTTCGTCCATGTGGTGTTTTGGGAAAAGTGATTCGGACAAACCAAAATGAAGCCAAAAGGCACCTATCTGGTTCACAGATCAAGGTACCAGAAGTAACCGATAGAGGATGGAGCACTAAAAAAAATCTATATATTATATTTATATTTTATGAAAACCAAAGAAAAAAGATACTTACATGCTATCCCAAATCCCTATGCACATTTAAATAACTGGAGGTTTTTTTTTAATATCACTCCAATGGCTATTTAAGTGTAAGCTCACTTGCCACATCATGACAAAACCTCTTGAGTCTTGAGTCCTACACTAACAATTCTCATTGCTGCTTTCGGTTAAAAGAGGCATTTTTCTAAACCCAACACACTTATTAAGCCTTAATAGGGAACACATGGGGTGGGCGGCAGCACTGTAACATGGCTGTGCAATGCAAATGAAATATAACATACAAAACTAAGCCCTGCGCTCAAACTCCCACTACTCATGGGCGGCAGCAATGTCTATAGTGCACATCAGCCCCAATACATGTAATAAAAAAGTTAAAATCATTTTTTTTGCACATTATGCCAAATCCCTATGCACATTTAAATAACGGTAGGTTTTTCAATATCACTCCAATGGCTATTTACGTGTAGTAGGGATAGTGTGCAAGTAACTTTTTTCCTTGGTGACAACAAATACCAAAATGTTTATGATTTCCTATAAATAAAATATTTATTTTTTCTGCATGTTAAAAGTGTTTTCACTGGTTTGTTATATATATATTTTGGTTTAATTTTAACATAGTGTGAATTCGCCTTAAAATATTCACTCACACCCATATCATCACCATGAACCAGCCAAAGTTGATGCAGACACTGGTACTGACCTCATACCGGCTATTTAAGATCACACTGCCGTGTTCCAAAACACAAGAATGCAGAGTGCGCAGAGATATGACGTCATACCCTGGTATTCTCTGCGTTCCGTTTAGCCTGCTTACTTGATTGAGAACAGCCACAAGTGAGCTCTTTACAAATGGAGGTACCAACCTACGTTACTTCATATCTAGGCCAGCTGGGGTAAGATCTCCCGTTCATTGAAAAGGAATTGTAACACAATGCATATGTTTAAAACCATCATTTATTTCTTAAAGTTAGAATTCATAGTGAATTTGAAATTTAAGGTCAAATTAGCCAAAGTGGAAAAATTCTCTAAGTCAATTATATTTTCACTATGGCTACTGTGGCCTTAAATTTGAAATTCACTTTGAATTCTCACTTTAGTTAATAAACCTGTATATCTTATTTAGGGGCAGAGACACACATTGATACAACAATCAGGACCGGAGGCTTTCTGAGGATGGGGAATTATAATCCAAAATCCCTTAATCCAGTAGTGCTGGCCTGGATTCACACTAACAGGACCATATTAGCCTGGCCGATGCAATGACTGACACTTGTGACAGAAGATATTGATGATGTTTATTTTCATGTTCCAACAAAGTTACATTTTCCAGTCCTTTTGACGGTTCTCCTACGAGGTTATCTACCAAGTCGAGAAACGTAAATTTTAGCGCATAATAGACTAGGTGACTAAATTAGCTCAGCTGGTGAAATGTTGAAATATTTTGATCAGAAACATGCAATAAAAATGCATAATCTATCATATCTGGTTACACTATAACCACTTCAGCAATCAGCATACTGAATATGCCCTATTCAATATGTTCTTCCAATATGTCCAATTCAGTTTGAGATTCTTTTTGGTTTGTATACAAAGGACTGTTCATAGACCTCCTTCTGTACATAGCTAGATAATAATAATTAAAACAGACAGATAGACAATAAAGAGACACTCCAAGTACCATAACCACTGCAGTTTATTGTACAAGGTTATTTTGGTGCTTATGATGCCCGGAGGCTCTGGATGCCGACCCTCCTTTTTTCGTCGACCGGGTTTATTCAGTTAAGCACAGCCCTGACAACCAAATGCATTTTCTCTCTACTTTGATGATTATATCAAATATTTTGCACGCTGTTTCTCATATTGACGTATAGAGGTGGCACGAGGAATTATTTAATAACAGCAATCAATGCAGATACCTACTGAAAAAATATGCTTCAACCAAGCACTGACGGGCAAAAATGATTTGCAACAAATGCCCTATATACATTGACATGTCATAGTTAATTAAAGATACAATGAGACTTGAAAATAAATGTATGTATTATGATTATATTGAAGGCTGTATTCCCCGAGGCACAGCCTTCCTCCTGTTGAGAGAGACGTTTACAGTGATTCATAGAATAAAAATCATTTTAGATTTATGAATCCATGAAGCTGAAGAAGAAGTAACTAAATCTTTAATCCACAGAAATATTAATAAAACTCTAGAATTTAATGACATTTGCAAGGAAATAAATAAATAACAAGATCCAGAAATGTAACACCCAGGGAATTATTATGACAGGAATTACATGAATAGGAAACTGATTTGTTCCCTGGTGTCCTGCTTGTGGAGAAACACGGGAGCTGTCCCCAACAAGCATGGCGTGAGCCCATCATTAGACATGCGTGCGCTGTGATAATCAGGACCTTAGGACCCAGTACAGAGCACTGAAATAGTTCCCCTGCATGATCTGCCTTTGGTGGGGGTGGCTTAGTTGATTGGCACGCAGCCACTCACACTAGGGTGACCTGTCAATTCTACAGTTGGACCCTCCACCTTCCTGTGCTGGTCCACCTCCTTTGGGCAGAACCAGTGGCGTGAATCACATCAATGGCCTGCTGTTGTTTACATCTCCCACCAGCGTCCTGCGTAACAGAAGTTAGAAGGTTTGTGTGTCTCTGAGTCCTGGCCTTTAAAGTCAGAATTAAAGGGACTCCAAGTGTGTTTCCCTGCACACTGTGTATTATAACTGCAGCTATAAGGTTATGGTGTAAGGAGGTCCCCTGTCTCCCACACACAGTGTATTATAACTGCAGCTATAAGGTTATGGTGTAAGGAGGTCTCCTGTCTCCCTGCACACAGTGTATTATAACTGCAGCTATAAGGTTATGGTGTAAGGAGGTCCCCAGTATCTCTGCACACAGTGTATTATAATTGCAGCTATAAGGTTATGGTGTAAGGAGGTCCCCAGTATCTCTGCACACAGTGTATTATAACTGCAGCTATAAGGTTATGGTGTAAGGAGGTCCCCTGTCTACCTGCACACAGTGTATTATAACTGCAGCTATAAGGTTATGGTGTAAGGAGGTCCCCTGTCTCCCAGCACACAGTGTATTATAACTGCAGCTATAAGGTTATGGTGTAAGGAGGTCCCCTGTCTCCCAGCACACAGTGTATTATAACTGCAGCTACATGGTGTATTACACAGTGTATTACCGCAGCTATAAGGTTATGGTGTAAGGAGGTCCCCTGTCTCCCCGCACACAGTGTATTATAACTGCAGCTATAAGGTTACAGTGTAACCTTGGGGTCCCCTGTCCCTGCACAAAGTTGTGAATAAAGCAGATTGCAAAACTCATTGTGTAAAATCAGAAAGAGAAGCTGTTGATTGGTTCAGTTTCTTCCTGGTCTCTGAGTTCATCGCTACAGCTTGTTGCATGTTCGTTCAGAAGGAATATTGAGATTTCTTTTTACCAAAATGACATAATTTTGCAAACTTGCTTTTACAGACTGGGAATCTTCTGAAATGGTTTTTAGTATTCACAACTCAATAGAAGACCGTTGAAAGCATACACGGGAGTGTCGCTCAATTAACAAACCCAAAATGAATGTTTTGTTTCTACACTTCGCAGTGTTAGAATACCTTCAGAATGAGACTGCGTTTAGGATATGAGGGAGAGACAATAGTTGGATGGAAATAGATATCTGATTTCCTACATTGTGGAGGAGACCTGAAGGGTGAAAAAAAGATTTCACAATAAAATATCAAGAAATAGTTTTTGAGTTTATTTATGTCTGAGAGAGTTCCTGGTCCTATATTCAATTGGTAAATGTAAATGAGGGACATGCTAAAGAAGAAATATACACTGAAGGAAGGTTTTAAGTATTCATCAATCTTCTAGGACATAGATTTAATATTTTTGGATAGGCTTTTAAAATGATTTAATATTTCTAGATTAAAATGTACAAATGTTTTTTCTTCAAAATATTAAAATGTTAATATATACAAATATATACGTTATCTAAAATCTAAAAATATTAGATCATTGAAAATCCAAATATATTTAAAATCAAGCCCAATGTGTCTATCTATAAGATAACATGTTATAAAGAGTTCACACTGTCTCCATATAGTACTCTAGTGTGTGCCCACAGCAGGGGTTGGTGTTGGGTGTGGGGAAGGAGAATGTGGGGGTGACTGTAATCAGCCCATCCTGTGTGTTTAAAGAACAAGAAACTGAAGGAAGTGACTCAGAGGTCTACATCTTGCACCAAACTTGTGTGGATTCCTGGAAGGTGCCGTCAAAGACTCTGTGAGTCTACAACCAAATCAAAGACTTTTCTTAATGTCATATGGAGGCAACAATTCGGCTTTAAGAGAACTACATAAACAGGCCCTTTATTTTAGCAACCCTTTTCACACTTCCCTTTTCAAAACCTGAAATATACAAAATATACCAGGCTTGGTAAGAAGGTTCGGATATTTTTAGCCATCTGCCTAATGGAAATGTCAATTTATTTCAGGATGAACAAACAGAAAACAAAAGCGGAAAACAAAGACTAAAAAAAGATGAACTCCTGTGATAAAAGCACTGTCAGCAACCCATATGTATGGTAGTTAAAGGGACCTGTCAAGCTGCATTGACACATTGTTTAATGCGTTCTATATATATTACAATAAATTATACACTGTGTAGTGGAGCCCTAGTCCTAGCAGGGACTATCCTCCGCTGGATACTCCCAGATATACTCAGCAACAAGTAGAATATTCCAAAGGAACAGCCAAACACAGAAAAGTAAGCCAAGATTCATCCACCACCACCCCAGTAACATCCACCACCACCCCAGTAACTGGACGACACTCAGTTTTGGGGGAATAACTGATTTTTAATGGAGGCACACTGCCTTTTATGTAATTTTCCCAGCAAGGGTGACGCCCAGGTGGACCTTGTCGGGCACCGGGACACAAAGTTAACAAGTCAATGAAACAGTGTTGTACATGGAGACACTCCCATACAGTATGTACAAGCCCTCCCCTCTACCTGGTAGATAATGTAATAACTCAATTATCCCCAGGCAGGAAAACCACATATTTTTACAGTGTCCCCATAAATGTCACATCCCTGGATAGTTCTTATCTGGATGAACAACATATCCAAAAACCACCCAGATCAGAGCAGGGGTTCACGAATTCCCTGGAAGTCACTTTTTGACCGACCGCACGCATGGCTTTATGCCCAAAATGGTTTCAGAGGATTAGGCTGTGCGGCCAGTCTATTTTATCAGTCAAATAATGTGTAAACAGTCGAACGGATGCATTTGTGCATAGTGTTACTGTACGTATCTTGTTCGGTAGATTATTTCTACCGAATAGCGCTTCTTTCGTGTAATTCCAGTCGAACTTAGGTGGAGGTGCAAGTCCCAGCGGTGTTCGTGCCGTTGAGTGTCCCATTTTAGTTCCATGCACTCGACGACCAAACACCGCTGCCTTTGTTAGTGTCCCAAGATGGCCGCAGCCACGTGTTCGTCT